TAGAGACGGGGTTTCACCATGTTGACCAGGATGGTCTTGATCTCTTGACCTCGTGATCCACCCGCCTCGGCCTCCCAAAGTGCTGGGATTACAGGCTTGAGCCACCGCGCCCGGCCTCGAATACTAAATTTTTAAAGAGCTCCCGCAGAGCAGGAGCCAGGGAGAACCTGGAATTAACCTCACTTCCGGTCAAGAGCCTCGCTGGGCACGCTAACCAGCCCCCTGCCTCTGGGCTTCTGCCTTGAACTCATCCCGGAGAAACCGCGGTCTTTCCTTCTCCCCCGATGCTTTCAGGTTGTAATCCACCTCCGCCTCCGTCTTGCCCCGTAGGGTTCACGCTAGATGAGCACTGAAGGCAAAGTTCCCTCCTGCAGCGCGCGTGTGTGAAGGAGGAGGTGAGTGCTGACGAGCGCGGTGCTCACTAGTCGGGATGGCCTGAGACCGTGTCACGTCCTCCCCAGGTGAATCAATTTACACAGCTCGGGATTTCCCCCGTCCCTCCCTAGGCAAACACGAAACTAGCTCTGCTGCCTTCTGCCGGGAGCACTGGTCTCGGTCGTTTTGGTAGTGTTTATCGTTTCCGTGCCAAGGAGAATCCGCTTTCTCCTGAAACAGCGTCACTCGTGGGCAAAGTGGGGGTCAATCCTCGCTTCCCACCCCCGCCCGGCCTGTGGGGTGCAACTCTCAGGAGCGCAACTTCCTTTCAATCTAACAAGCTTTACAAAGGCTGGGTATGTGCGTGGGAGGGGCAGATACCGTGCGGGGCGCGACCTATTTTCTTGCCCTATTCCTTGGCCCCTGCGTGGGGCAGGGTCGTGAGGGGAAAAGTGACGGCGTGTCGCAGCTGCAGGTGCGGTGCACGGTCACGAACACCGACGCGGTGCTGAACTCACGCCTAGCGCGCTGGCTCCGCCCCGCAAGCAGCTCGCCGCGAAGGGGCGGGGCCCAGAGTGGGCAGGTCCGCGCACGCGCCGCGTGGAGGACGGAAGTGAAACGCTTAAGAAATGAGATGGAGAAGTACGAGCGGATCCGAGTGGTGGGGAGAGGTGCCTTTGGGTGAGCCAGGGTTCTGGGGGAGGAACTGCTAGGGGAGAGGGAAAATGAGCTGCAACTCTGCCCGCGAAGTCGCCGCCCGCCGAGCCCCGCCCCAAGGCATGAGCGCCACTCTGGGCAGCCCCGCCCGAGCTTCCGGTCCCAGTCTCGCGGGGAGACTCCGCCTCTATGGAGGTCACTCCCCTGACAAGCCCATTGCCCCGCCCACTGATTCTTTATTCGTTTGTTCAACAAATATTGAGTGCCACCTATGCATATCAGGCTTTGGGCGCTGGGTGTACAGTTAGAACCGGAACAGGCGTAGTCTTTTCCCTCTTGGAGCTTACTGACTATAGGAAAATTATACAATAGCCGGGCGGGGTGGCTCACGCCTTTAATCACAGCACTTTGGGAGGCTGAGGTGGGTGGATCACCTGAGGTACGGAGTTCGAGACCAGTCTGACCAATGTGGTGAAACCCCGTCTTTAAAAAAAAAAGGAAAATTATACAATAAACAAAACATTATGAATTATGAAGTTACAGCAGTTATGAGGGGTTATTAACAGGTTGTAAGGATAGAGTACATTACCAGGGAGAATACTTATATGAGACGGTCAAGGAAGAATTCTCTGAGAAGGGAGGTTTATTTATTTATTTGTTTGTTTATTTAATTAATTTATTTTTATTTATTTTTTTTTTGGAGGGACGGAGTTTCGCTCTTGTTACCCAGGCTGGAGTGCAATGGCGCGATCTCGGCTCACTGCAACCTCCGCCTCCTGGGTTCAGGCAATTCTCCTGCCTCAGCCTCCTGAGTAG